CTCTTACCCAAGATAAAAGCTTTACGTGGTCCATTAAAATAAAATGGAACCAAATTTTCCAAAGAAGTACTTTTTTGTTGTTTTCACCTTTATATTAAAGTATATATGTTATGAATAGAATTCTATTTGGAGTGTATGTCTATCTTGTAGAGAGTTTTACTTTGAGGTTAAATCATTTTTCCCCTATTAGAGGGGTCTTACCCCATTGTAAATCATCCCAAAATTCAATAAGAATTCCCTCTCTCTCTTTCTCTGTAATATTGCTCTTGTTCTTTTATTATTTTATAACACGTTATCAGCACGAGACTCTAACCAATTGAGTAGAAACTTTGGGGTTGAGCATAATGATTGTCAATTATTCTATGAACTTCCTTCATGATTAAATTCTGGATTTAAGGTAAGTATTTTACTTTATTTTTCAATTTTAAATTTTTGAAATTCTATAATTTGATTTTATATACAAGCAAAGACGATAAATTTTGTTTGCAACTCTAATGGAGTTTGAAAGAAATTATAACCACCCAAAGTGGTAAAATTTCTATGCCTTGCCATGATTAAATTCATGTATGATTGTGGGCAAAGAATTGAAAATCCGTCTCATTGAATTTGCTCCATTCTCATTCCCTTTAGAGAATGTGATAGCAGTATGTGATAAGTCTGAAAGAAGACAAAATTATTACTATGAAGGTATCAATGGATGTGGACGTGGCAATAGACGAAATTATAATCGTCATCATTGTGATACTGAGAATAATAAGGATTCTTAAAATAATCTTTCACTATGTGAAAGTAATATTTGTCATCAATTTGACATGAGACTTTATAAAGCACATACAGATGATTATGGTCCATTCATGATGTGAATGTGACAACATCTGATTTATGAATATATATTCATTCTTGGAAGAATATAAACGTGCTAGTGGTAGTGAATATACCACACTTACCTCTAGAAGGAGGTTTGAGATGATATAAGAAAATAATATCATTATTATGGCATGAATGGTCATTGGTAACGTACCTATTGTACGCCAAAATATTTTGGTAATGTGATTATTAAAGATAATAGTAATGCAAGAAACATATCTTGCATATAATTTTGACCATAACCATGATGGTATAACTTTCTCTTTAAAAGAGATATTCACCATATGGATGTTGATGAATATATGGTAGTACCAAATTAATTGAGAGCTCTGGAAGAGCCAATTATTACTATTTTGGAGAAACACAATTAATTACCAATAAGGTATTGTGTTGTAGTAAGTCTCAAAGAAACTTATTCAGTTTCCAAAGTATACACGAAAGTGGTTGATTATATTGAGACTATAAATAAAGGAAAGATTTAATATCTTCTATTACTACAACTTGTAGCGAGGTAATATGTATGTGAAAAGCTACCCGCTTTATTCTCCAATTTGTACTACATAAACAAAAGAATACCACAGTAAAGTGGATATTTATTGATATAAAAACCTATATCATAATAAACTTGGAGTTTATTCATAATTGCACACATCATGGTGTAAATCTGAAGTTTATCAATATTGATAATTTATTCAGTTGGCATAATTGGTTTAGCCATATCAATTTAAGTATGATGTGAAAAAATAATAGAGAATTCATATGGGTAAATATTAAAGAACTAGAAAGTTCTTTACGAATTCTCTTATATTGCTTGTTCTCATTAATTAATAGATCAACTAAAATTGGGATTGAATCCCATGAATGCTGGAAATATCAAAGGTGAATATGGGCCCATTCACCTGCCATGTATACCACATAAGATGCATCTATGAGATGGTTACATGTGCGATTATTATTAACCCTCAACATGGTGTTTGCGAGGTAACTTGCTCAATAATTTAATTTAGAGCATATTCCAGATTTTCTATTCAAGAAGTTCATCTTGATAAGTTGGTCTACATCGCAGCTAATTTAGCAAAATAATTTATTGAGTGCCTCCACTTAATAGCTAAATATTTGCTTATGAGAACAAAGTTTTGTATATCAGTTTGATATACGTTATATACGAAAGTATATTAATTTCTCCCCTCACAAGTGGTTCATGGTCAGGAACCAAATAATTCCATCTTATTATTATTGATGTGCGGTGTATATTTTGATTAACACCATAACGCACAAGATCGGTTCTCAAAGTTGAGGAAACAAGTTAGTTTTTCTAACATGAGGGGGAGACAAGATAAACAGTTGAGAAAAAGTTACGTGGAATGAATTATCATGTGTACATCTAGATCCTCGAATAAAATAATATGAACTTGAAGTTCATAAAAGGATAATTCATGTGCAATTTATTGCAAAGCATTCCAGACGCATTTGCTGACCCAAAGAAAGTAACTATATTCTCATTGCAAATGCTCCTATTAATATAAGTCCTAGAAGGACAAAGTCTATGGTAAGCTTAAAGCTTATAGACAATCGGTTTCAAATAAACTTCTTGATAAAGAAGATGAGCAAATGATCAAAATGATCATAATAAAGGAGGTAAGTGATCCGGAAGATCACATGACATAACACTTCATAAAATCTCATGAGAGATTCAGGTGCCTGAATATATGAATGAAGAGATCTCTATGTTATGTCTTTATGAAAAATAAGGAGGTTGGAACCGATACAAAATATTTGTCGACGACATCTATAAAAGCGCTAAATATATATGAGGATCTTAAGTCTGAAGAAACAATTTGAATAGATTTGGTTTCATATGAAAGACATGTAGTTTTGAACATATAGTTCAAATACTTGAAAGCATAAAGCCAATGATATGTGCAATCAGTTTTCGATATCTTATTTGTCTAGCATGACATAAAACCTTGATATGCATCTAATTAAAGTCTATTATATGACTTATATGGCTTATATGAGACCCTTGAAAGATTTAAATTGCTTGAAGCATATACAATTCTTGATCTTGAAGTACCACATCCTAATTGCAATTTGTGCATATATGTATCTTGCTATAACTATAAGCATGATAATGTGATAGCGAGAATACCTCCATAGAGATATTGAAGAGCCATTCTACGATATTTATGAAGACATTATATCTCTATCAAGAATGATGATTTCAAGGTGCAATATATTCATTCAAGTTAATATGGCTGATTTGTTCATCAAATCTCTACCAAAGATCTTTTGAAGATGGTGCACAAGATTGGAATGCAAATGCTCAAGGATGTGAATTGATGCTCTCATCAGGGGGAGTTAATACGCGTTGTACTCTTTTTCCCTTACAAGGTTTTGTCCCACTGGGTTTTCCTTGCAAGGTTTTTAACGAGGCAACCAAAAGGCGTATTATTAAATATGTGTACTCTTTTTCCTTTTCTAGAATTTTTTCCCATTGGATTTTATTTTAGTTAAGGTTTTAATGAGGCACATTACTTATTGAGTAGACATTCAAGGGGGAGTGTTATGAATAGAATTCTATTTGGAGTGAATGTCTATCTTGTAGAGAGTTTTACTTTGAGGCTAAGTCATTTTTCCCCTATAAACAGAGGGGTCTTACCCTATTGTAAATCATCCCAAAATTCAATAAGAATTCCCTCTCTCTCTTTCTCTGCAATGTTGCTCTTGTTCTTTTATTATTTTATAACAATATAGTATTTGTTTAATAAACAAAGAAAACTAAAGGAAAGAAAGTAAAAGTACCTAGCTAGTAAAATTACCAGCTGTACCAAAAAAGGGCCTAACGTGTAACTCTTTGCAAAAAGCACTAAAAAAATTATGTTTAATTGATGTGACATAATCTAAAATTGCTTTATTCGGCTGCTTCACAACATAGGGAACAGGAAATTAAAGTTTTTAGACGATTAGACAATTGAAAAGTGACTAGATAATGATGTTATTATATGAACCTAGAGGATAATGAGTTCACCCTAAGGCAAATGACTAAGTGGGCGTTTGGACGAGGAATTGTGAAAATGGTATTAAAAATTTGGAGTTGTTTTGGGACATGAATATAATTTTGGATTATTTTTGAAATTTTGTGAGTGATTTGAGTGAAAATTTTGAAAAATAGGTTTTGGAGTTTTTCAAATTTTCGAAAATTTTCAAAATGTATTTTCAAGTGAAAATTAAAAATTTATGAATAAACGCTGATTACGAGAAAAAAGGAAAAAATTTCTTATGTCCAAACGGGCTCTAAAGATGCACAAACAGTATTACGTAGAAGGGATTTTTTTCTTCCTATATCATATATGAAACTTTATTACAAAAAATGTGCATATTATGTAAATTACCCGCCCAGTCCACGTTTTACCTACAATTTTTGTACCATTCGTCTATTAGGTATTAAAAAGGCAGAATATTCCCTAAAAAACGCGCTAAAATTAAGGAGAGAATCTTGGTGTTAATTGATTCTACATTAAATTCCATTTTTAAAAAGGGAAAGGAGATTTCTCATCTGCGTATTTTTCTCCAGAACTACAATTCAAATTCTCGAAAAAAAAAATGACCAGCTACAAAAATTACGAACAGATTCAACTACTAACAGCTTCGACGATTTGAATTCAAATTGTAGAATTCAAATTTTCGAGTTTCAACAACTCAAAGTTGATAAACTCTGTTCTTCGTCGTTTCTTCTCTCAAATTGTTGCTCATATATATCTGTTCTTCATCTTTTCTTCTCTCAATATAGAAATCCAAAAAAACATCAACAACAACAAGAAATCATGTCCAAAATCGCAATCATGCTACAATTTAATGGGAATTGGGATAACTATGGCAGATTTAGAGATTTTGAAGTTGATGTCATTGTGGTAGATGAGAATGCAAGCTACAGTATTCTGATTTCTACAATTGCAGAACAATTATCAATTGATACTACTGAAAAAATTGTAGAAATCCAATACATCGTGAACGACAATTGTCCCCCACTGGAGATTAGGAATGATATAGGGGTTCGTGTGTATATGGAGACCAAAAAGGAGAATAAAAACTTAGGTTCATATCCGCTATGTATAAGTATACGAGATTTCAATATGGAATTGGCAATCACCAACGATAACACAAGTACAGGTTTGTGTAGTTCGAAAATGCATAGAATTATAGTTTTACGATATTATCTACAAATTTACTACATTTATCTACAATTTGACTATAATTTCGCTTAAAGAAAGAGTTAAGCAGTATTGTTTTAAGATAAATCTACAAATTGCAACAATTTTACTACAATGTGTGGCATCTTAAAATAGATGACTACAACTTTATGTAGATATCTACAAATTATGTACAAAGATTCTACAAATTTATAATGACACTGTTTATCTCTATTTTGATGCAGGTTCGTCTGAATCGCTAAAGTTACTTGATATGTCATGCTCTCCAGATATAGAGGAATATCAAAGTGAAATAATAAAAGAATACACGCAAATTGATATTGAAGAAGGACAAGTGTATCAGGACAAGCAAACTGTAGCTGCTGCAATGAAGCACTTTTCCGTGGTGCACAAGTTCTAGTTCAGAGTTAAAAGATCTAGTCATAGAAGGTATGGAGAAAAGATGATTTTAAGCAGTGCTTTATTCAAGTTATATGTTTTTTAACATTGTAGATGAATTGTAGTTAGAATGTAGTTAAATTGTAGTTTATGTTACTTTCCCTTAAAACAATCCTTTTGTTGCACATAAAATGAAATTTGTGTTAAATATTGTTTTTTTTGTAGCTACTGGCTTGTATGCGTTGGTGAAAACTGTAAATGGCACTTCAAGGCAACGTCAATTAATGATTCCGCAATGTTCAAGATAAGGAGTTTCAACCGACAACACACATGCTCCTTAATGGACGAAACATTCATACAACGCAAACATACTGCAGCTGTAGTTGGTAGCATGGTCATTCCAAAGTATTGTGATCCAAAGACTATTTACACACCAAAGGACATACAAGATGACATGTTAGCAGAACACGGAGTGAACTTAAGCTACATGCAAGCATGGAGAGCAAAGGAAAAGGCTTTACAGTTTTTGAGAGGGAATCCGGCTGACTCCTACAGCAAATTACTCAAATATTTTTATATTCTTGAGGAGACTTATCCTGGTTCCCATGTTAAATTGAAGAAGACAGCTGATGAATGCTTCTTATACGCATTTGTTGCTCTTTGTACATCAATAAGTGGTTGGCAACATTGTAGGCAGTAGTAGTTGTTGATGGGACATTCTTAAAGTCAGCATACAGGGGGATTATGCCGACAGCAAGCACCATGGATGCAGTAGGTAAAAAGTGTTAAAAATTTTGTAGTTATTTTGTAGGCAGTCTATAACCTGCCAATTAAAATTTTATTAATTGATAATGTAGGTACAATATTACCCTTGGCATATGCTGTGATTGATTCTGAAAATGACGCATCTTGGAAGTGGTTCTTTGAGCAATTCAAGCAGGCATATGGTGAAAGACCTTCAATGTGTTGTTTCAAATAGGAATGAGAGTATAATGAAGGCAACATCAATTGTCTATCCGGGCATGCCACACTACTCTTGTATATGGCATATTTGGACAAATATAAGGTCAAAATTCAAGAAGGGTCATCTACAATTACATGAATTGTACTTTGCTACAGCAGGGGCATACACTCTGGATGAATTTAATGAAAGAATGTTGAAGATTGAAGAGATAGACCCTCGTGTTAAATCATACCTCTATGATATTGGCTATCATAGATGGTCAAGAGTACATGCAACGGTAAATAGGACTTGGACTATGACATCAAACATTGCAGAGTCATTGAATGCTGTAACAAAATATGCAAGAGAGCTGCCAATATTTGACCTATTAGAGTATATGAGGACGCTTCTTGAAACTTGGACGAAAGAGAAGTTATTGAAGGCTAAGGGTACCTTCACATACCTTGGGTACAAATTCAACAAAGAATTGGAGAAAAATAGTACATTATCTCAGAAACTTAGGGTAAGATCTGATTATTTGGTGCAGAAAAAAAAATGTTTTAATATATAGTGTCTCCAGATTGTAGATAAATTGTAGGCAAATTGTAGTTTATTTGTAGATTGTAGTTATTTTGTAGATAAATTATGGATAACATGTAGATACTATATTTTTAATATTGTAAATATTTTTTCTTTGTGTTTGTTCTCAAAATGTCGGTGAGGGCTTTAACGGATCATATACATACTGTGTTGGATGGTGTGAAGCGGTACATTGTGTGTCTAGAAAACAAGAAATGTAGCTGTGGCCAATTCCAACTTGAAGAACTTCCATGTGCGCATGCTTTGGCTGCATTAAGGCACAGGCATGAAACATATGAAAACTATTGCTCTTTGTATACACAAGAGAGAGCCTTCTGCGTACGTATGAAATACCAGTAAACCCTCTTCCCGATGAAAGCAAATGGAATGTGCCACAACATATTTTGGATGAGGTAGTATATCCATCGACGGGAGATAAAAGGCAGCCAGGGAGACCTCAAAAGGAAAGATATAAAACACATGATGAAATAAAGTCTAAGAAGTACAAGGTGTCATGCGGAAATTGTGGAGGTGAAGGGCATAACAAAAGATCTTGCAAGAATGCTCCCAAAAAGAAATGAATATCATGTAGTTAGAATGGTTATTCAAACTAACTGTTAGTGGATTAAAGTTAGCAGATTTTGGCAGTGTAATCGTTTAAGTTTTTAAAGATCATTATAAATTATACTACAATTTGTTTATGTATGTTAAATATGCTTTTATGTATCTTGTCAGGCATCTAAATTTATCTTTGAATTAGTGTTATCAAATTTTAGTATTTATTATGTACAATACAATTGATATTAAAAAGTAACTTCATGTAAAGTGTTTTCAGATTGTAGTTATAATGTAGGTTAATGTAGTTAAATTGTAGTTTTTGTAAAAATATTTAGACAATTTGCAGATTAATTGTGGATAACACATTTCTATGATTGGAGTATTTATTTCTTCTTTTTGTTATGTAATTTAAATTCAACTGACAGTTATATACAGATATTACATAGAACTTGGAGGTAAATAGCTAAAAGTTATGATAAACAGCTACAAAATTTATATACAATAACTACATTGAGTCTTCACAAAATGTAGATAGTTTGAAGATTATTGGTAGGCAAATTGTATCCTAACATCAAAATACTCATGTTTAATATAATGAAGATACAGTGCTGTATGAAGAACTAATAATGAAACATAAAATAACAAAACAATAAGGTATGCTGCAATAAAAACTTAATAATTCTGTTCATAAAGTAGTGTGTTCTCCTTCAACTACAAATTGGCATCAAGTAAACTAGGAAAACAGGATACTATTTCTTCTTTCTCTGGACTCTAGTCTTCTCATTCAAAGCAGGAGCACCCTTCCTCCTTGCTAGCCTTCCTGTAACCTCACTTTCACTGATTGACCCATCTTCTTGCTTCTTTGCAGCATAGTCCCATAGTAGAGCTTCATAGCGTGTACGGTGTTGGCCAATATCCGAAAGGTCTTCTGAAGGGATTGACAAATCTCCAAGGCTAACATACTCCGCAAAAGCAGCCACAAATACACCACAATCGCTGCATAAGACACAAAAATTAAATTATTTAACAAATGATTATAAAAAAATAAATAATTAAACATCTAGAAAGAGAGAATAGTTTTTTTTACAGTGATCCTTCCTTTTGCTGTGGAATCTCCGCAACTAACCACTGTATGTTGGGAGGGTCTGTAACTGGTTTCTCAATGTATGCCTTTGTGGTCTTGAAGTCAATGTCTTTACGCTTACCGTAGAAACCAGTGCAAGACAAATACAGAGGGATAATGATTGAAAACTTATCAACACATGCTTCAACAGCATTATGATTGTGTGAAGACACCATGGAATCGTACACATAAAGTTGCTTGTCCGCTATGTCGAAAATGACCAACAACCAATGGAAATTCTCTACAATGTTCACGGGCATGATGACATAGTCAGCTTCATCCCAGGCAACATTAGCAAGAATTCTATACCCAAGAATATATTCTGCAACATCGTCATCGGGTTTAACAACCGAATACTTTTGTTCTGGTGGAGCACTTATGAACTTCTCATAGATTTGTTCAATCTTTGACTTGAACAAGCAATCAGTTGTTGTAAACCTAGTGTTGTTGTTGTTGGGGCCATATTTGCCTCTTTTTCTCAAGTAATACATAATAACATCAACGTGCTGCAAAATAAAATAAAATCTACTATAAGCTACACTGTAACTACAATTTTCAACAAAGCAGATACATATTAAACTACAAAGCCAGAATTCAAATATTCTAACAAATATCTACACTTTAGCTGCTATACACAGCAACACATGGAACACAGCAACTACCATAAGGTCTCAATAATATTGACATTCAAACTATAGCACATATTTGTAAGTGTTTAGCTTGAACTACACTATAACTACAAAATAACTACAATATAACTACAATTACACTACAAAACAGAAATCAAACTATATCTTGTAAATTTATTCTTTGATACTTACAGAGTTACTGAGGACTTGTCCGGGGTGAGCAAGGAATAAAACCAGTCCTTCTTATCCACCTTTTTAACTCCAAGGTCTAACCAAGGCTTGATTTGGTTATCCTTTGTTGAAAAGGGAGCCTTCCTCCTGTAAAAAATTACATAATGAATTAAATATTTATACTTTAAAATCTGAAATGAAAGTATCAAACTAAGCATTCATACCTCTTAAATACTTTGTCACTACGGTGATATAACCACTTGTTGAACTTATTTAACACATCAGAATCTACATTTTCACCTATAAGAGTTATGAGGGGTGCTTGAGGTAGAAAAATTTAGGTGCAATAGAGCTGCTGCCTCCAGAACTATATAGAGGTATGAAAGGTGATCGTGCATGTTTCCCCGGTTGCCTGGTTCTCCCCGGATGAATAGGGGTTGCTTCATGTGGTATGGGCTCTCCAAACATAACCAATTGTGTTAAGTTATCTGGCAACTCAAAGTCATCCAATGTCACACCCTTCTTATCAATGCTTGATCCTTCAGAAACAACTTCATCCACATGAAGTGCATCTTCACCTTCATTTAGCTGTTTCTCAATGACTTGTTCTGTCTGAGCTGCTACAGTCACTCCGTGAATTGGGGAGCACACATTGACATTATCAATATCTGTTACATAAAATATATATTACTTAACAGGAATGTAAAAGTGTTCAATCAAAATTATATATTCTGAATGACAGCATGATTTTATACCTGCATGTTCAACATCAGCTGCTTTTTGAAATTCTGGATATAAGTCCCCATGTGCTGGAACATGTTCTGGACAAACTGCAGCTTCAATTTATAATTTAAAAAGGTAAATAATACTATATAATACTGCCTTGAAAGTTGTAGATATAGATAGGAAGTTGTAGATAAAATGTGAATAATAAAACTATGCTCTATAAAGTTTTATAGTAAGTGTATATTTATTTGTAGCTATTTTGTAGATACTTGTGTTGCTTGTGCTTGCATGCACTTGATTACCAATATTGCAATGAAATTGCTGGTTGTTCAATCCTTGTTGTTGGTCATTGTTTTTGGTTAAACTACCAGCAAACTATAGATTTAATGTTAGTTTGAGTATATTGTTTCATATGTCATAATTTGTTTTGGTATATAAATATGTGTTAACTCTTACCTTTGCATCATCCACATCATATCTCATGTTTATCAATTTCACAACACTCTTCACAGAATCATCTACAAACACTCTAAGGTTATGGAGTTCCTCAAATACAGCCTTCCTAAAATCCTCTAACTTTCCATCAACCTACAAGTTAAAAATGTAGAATTATAGAATTATACTACAATTTAACTACAGTATATACTACATAAACTGTTATGAAAATGTAGATAATATGTAAAAACATTGTAGTTAATATTAGTACCTGCTGAATTCCCTTTTCTAGCTTTCTGAGCTTCTTAGCCACAGATTCCTTATCCTCTTGACAATTTGTATGTTTGGATTCCAATTTTGGAGAATCAACATTTGGAACCTCTGATGATTGTGCACCATGTTCAGCTCCATAATCAATCTTGTTTGGCAAAGTAAGCACTGCAATCTCTTCTCCAGATTCAGTCATGCTTGTGAACTGAATGATGAAAAAAAAACAGTTAGTTCCACTAATGCAAAAAATGTGGAATAATTGTAGCTATTCTGTAGGTAAATGTAGACTGTAACCAAAACTGAAAAAATACCTTAATCCACTCAGGCTTGATCATCTTCTCTTCAAAGGCAGTTAACCAAATCTGCCCCTTAGAAGCTGAGCATCTTAATATGCGAGGTATTGAGTCAGAAGACCTCGTAGCAAGCTCCATGCTGACGGTCGAGCAACACTCATAAAGCCACACTTGCAAGGCTAGTGAGCATCCCCGTATGAGATAAGAATGTACACGGGGATTTAGACGATGCCTAACGGATTCCATAACTTG